CATGTCTATTTAGAGTTAGAGTGATTAAGTGGTTGCATTTTATCACAAAGCGTTCGGAAGGAGGCCGTAAACGCTTTAGGACGAGTTGTGTACGAGCCGGGTGGTAAGTGAGAAGATTAATTAATGTGATTCATTCTTAAAATATACAGCTCAGATATCAATGGGTACTTTTAGCTGTCAAAGGGAATATAAGGTGAGATTTGCATGTGTTCTATTTTTGAAGAGTTCTTTTAAAAAAACAGATATCTCCATTTTGAAAAATTGTCAAACGTTTAGATTCCTTCAGAATTCAGATTCCTTTAGAATCTTCGACATGTTTTGATATTGGCATGGAATTTGGAAGGATTTTCCCAAGGAGGGGTGAACTTGGATTTGTGTGGCAGTGAAATATATCTGGCACTTCACAAAACTACTTGGGGCAATAAACAGGGCTTTCAAATTCTTTTCCAATGTGTGACTTATCTGTTTTTGCAAATGACCCAATCATTTATCATTATGTGGACAAATGAGGGCTCCAGGCTCCTGTTATACAACTGTTTGCAACATGTAGGTATATATGTTTAAACGATTCTAACCAAATTGGTGTGTAACTCATTGCATGTGGAGTTTGAACAAAAAACACAAGGAACCCAAATGGCTGTGCAAAAGAACAATCCTCTGCATTTCTAGCCCAAAACAATGCCAAAATTGACTTTTTTGTGTGATGTCAATACACTTGAGAAGTATCTTTTGCTGTCAACCCATTTGTGAACTGACTCCTTGCACTTTCTCAGCACTGTGTCCTTCTTTGCTCCTGTGCACCACACTCCACTCCTTCAGAAAATCCCCCCACTGGGCCCATTTGACAAGCTCTTCCAACACTTCTCACTTACGTCTGGTCAATACTGAGAGGGGTTTGGATCATCTTAATTGCCCTTTTCACTGCTCTCGATGGTTCTGATGAGCAAAAGGAAAAGACACTCCATTACCAATAGTTGCATACGCCAATTTTATGGGATAACTTAATCTTAGGGGAAAGAAGCAGTATTCTAAGCGTACAGAGTAAAAATCAGATTTGATTTTCATCTATCTGATTTTCATAGTATAATTATTGCCAAATAAAAGGTGGGAAATGGCAAGCAAGAAATGTTTCCATAAGATAAGATAAGAATTCCTTTATTCGTCCCAGAGTGGGGAAATGTCGATGTTGCATCGCACATATAGGACAGTAGTAAGAGCACACAGGGAGCACACACACAATATAAGTAGTAGCTATGTTTCTTAGCTAACATAACTAGCTGACATAATTTCCATGACCAATCAAACGATTTCTTGCTTTATCGCTATGAACATTGGTTAATAGTTCTCAGCTCGCAGTGAACTATTAACCATTATAGTTATCTGATTTCTAAACCTGAACAAAATGCATTGATTTTCACTGTTCAATAAAAAAAGTGACAATTTCTCTAGAAAGTCACTTCCTTACATGCTTTCATCCTCCTTTAGGATATTGCATTTACAGTATATGATAAAGCAAACACATACTGTGTATATATTGTGTTTTCCCATAAGTTGCCTTAACATCAACTGCACAGTTGAACAGCGGGCATGATTTTTTTTTGCCTTATAATTTATTCAGAGCAACACAGTACAATGCATGGAGCAGGGAAGAAATGGCTACTTGCTCTGGGAGTTCTTCAGCTTGTGGTACTTAATAATTAATAACATTTTTACTAGAGCCATTAATTCCTCTTATTTTAGAGGATAGTAATTCTTTCTTAGAGGTTTATGGATGGTAGATCTAGTGCTGAGATTTTACTCAAACTGTGGACTTCTAAATACAGTGGCCTGTGAAAGTGTTAAAATAGTAAGAAGTTTTGTACATTTTGTCATGTTATGACCAAAAACATAGATATTTTATTTTAGATGTTTTACTCCTAAGAGCATAATAAGTAACAAACATGTGAGGAGAAAAAAAATAAAAACTCAGAAAGTGGGGAATCATGCAGGAGTTAATGTGCTCTGGGGAAAGACTATAAAAAGTTTCACATCTTCACCATAGACTGGACTCTACTGGATGATTATATTTCATAATAATTATGGAGGGCTGGGTAAAGGATCATAACTATTTTATTTTACGCAAATTAAATGAAAACATGTCCACTCTTTAAAAGAATAGGAAAAAGCACAATTTTAGACGCGTCAACAGTGCGTCAAAGTTACATTATTTACACACGACTCAAGAGTGACAGAGGCGATGAATGTAAAAAGAGAGAAATACAACGTGATTGGATATGAACAATGTTTAACAGTTTCTGCTCGCCCTTTGTTTTCTCGTTCACTTCTTGAAAATCGCTTGAATCCAGTGGAATAATGAAGAGGTAGGGGAATTGTGAAGAAAGAAAGAACATCCATATTACCACTTCAACATATGATATGACAATTTATAAGGATACCATTCATGCATTTACTTATTTGTGATTAAAACAAAACTTTTGCTTAGGATACAACTTTATAAATAAATGTGGATGTAGCCTTTGATTTATTACATATGCGCAACCAAGACATGAAGTAAAACATATTTCGGCCATTTAAGGCCTCATATTATCAATGATTTATTAGTGATTCTTTCACATTTTCAAAAACAAAAAAGTCCACATAGTTTATGTCAATATTTGATAATGCAAATGATATGAATGTTCTCATGCTAATTAACCAATCAGAACGCATTATCACATGTGTCTGTAATTTGGGTTACAGGTTTATTTGCTATGCAAGAAAGACTACCACACTACCACCTCACACTACCACAACACTGACTGTCAAAAGGTTTTTCATCACTCATTCTGATCATCTTCATTTATTTCTGACATGCACTCTCCCTGAGTCCATCCCACCAGCAGCAGCTCTGACCTGTGTGCCCTCTCCTTGGGCTGTCTGTCTCTTTTATTGGTCATCCCTCTGTCCTCCGGGGTTTAGGAGAAAAGCCTTCCTACCATCCCATCAAACCATAACCGAATATGACTGTGAGCAAACAAAACATACACATCCCCTCTTCAATTCCCCTTTATCTTTCATTTAGATCCACCGGCAGCTTGAAAACAGATGGCTTTCGAGGTCTTAAAACCCTCCACACTTTGTGTCAGGCAAACTGCTGAAAGGCTTGCTGTATATGAGTAAAGTGAGACCATTGGTTTATAAAATTGTTTTAAGGCCCATAAATGTTTCACTCCTCATAGTATCAATTTCTACCTCAGCTATTGCAAAGTTGCGGAGCTCGAGAAACAACAATGGAGGTAAATGTTATAATACTGAAATTTCCCCACTGTGGGACGAATAACAGGTCTTCTTCTTCTTAATAATAATAATAAATCATGGTCTGGAGCATCATACAGACAGCACAGTGGTGGTAAACTACAACTGTAGCCACAGCTTCCCTGGGACAGACTGACAGCAGAAAGGCAAACTTGTACATGATAGTTTGACGCAGCCACAGTGTCTCCCGGGTCCTGCCCTGCTTGATGTGTGACAGGATCTAACTTTCAAATGCGGGTGGTGTCACACAATCAACACATTAGGTTTGGCTTCAGAAACATATAAATATAATACACTTAATATATGAATATATTTAGCTTCTCATTTACCCACAAATGATGGATATTGATGCATCATTCTGCAGCAACGTAGTTGCGAAAGGAAAACCTCTCAATATAAAAACACATTTTTACCTGTTAGAATGTTGTCCTTTGGTCATTTGGTCATGAAGATTGTGATCATAGGCGAGTTAAAATTATTGGGTCATTATACATTTGTATTTTTCACTGCACAGATGACACTCAGAGTAGTAGTGTTCTTCCACAAGTGCAGCAGCGGAGGTGGCTTGGGCTTAGGCATACTCCTATGGGAGGAGGACCCGGGAAGACCCAGGACACTGACTCTCAGCTGGCCTGCAATGCCTCTGAATCAGCTGAGACCCAGCAGTGGATAAAGCGGATTAAAATGGATGGATTATGCTTATTGTAGATTTTCTTTTCAGTCTTAAAAGTTTGCAGTAGCCAAACAACAGGAGTTTTCACTTTTAGAGCAGAACAGACTGACTTTCATTGTTGTTGTCAAACTCAGTTGGCTGCCTCCTGGAACTCGCACAATCTGCTGTCACTGCTCACTTCTCTGAGAGCAAAGCCAAAGTCACTGCTCATTTGGAACAATTAATAGCAAAAATAGTAAAAAGAGCAGCATCATGGCAGCTGCTTCACGATGTACATATTTTATTTTTTAAACGACCTCATGTAAACTATTTATTACACTTTAAGGCAATTTATAAGGATAACATAATTTCTGAATGAACTTTCCAAATTATTACAAGCCAATGTAACTGGATTTAGCATTTTGATAACCTTGAATTAAAACAAAACTGTCTTATTTTTGCTTTCTGTTTATGTTTGTCTGGAATAGTGACAGTATGGAGTTAAAGGTGTCCATATATATTGGACACATGCAAGAGATGTTTTGAGTTTTAAAATATATCTGTGGGGAGGGGCGCTAAAGTTACCCATAGTTAAGGATGGATTAAAGGACAATCTTTAGTATTTCTCTTGGCAATTTTGAATTGAGAATTTCGACAATAAATGGTTGTATAATTTGTAATAACTTGTGTTCTTGTAAAGCTTTATGTCAGAATTAAAGATTGAATTTGAAATAAATCTGAAATTCTGAAAATTTGAAGTCTTACAATCTGCAATCTTATGTAACTTCTGATTTTGGCTTGGACTGTAAATATTAATGGACGTAGTGACGCCTTTTTCCTTTTGCCACAGACATGGGAAGAATAAAAATTAGGATCAAAGTCTGTATCCCTTGAAAAAAAGTATTTTCAAATGTATCTCCTTTATCTATAGTACTTAAATAGTATAGTACTTAAATATATTTCATTATCTCCGCCTGGGAGACTTGTGTAGTCACCGGAATACCTAAGTTTACTCCTGCTATGTCCACCATGTTTTTAATCTGATCTTGCAGCCTCAGAAAGAGTGACAGCACTGCAGCAGGATCAGAAAGGAGACGTTGGCGATCTTACGATACATCTGACATGTCTTCAGAAGAGGAGAGGAAGCAATGTGGACAGAGTCAAGGTTACAGAACACAACGATGGATATGTGAAGGACTCACTAAATAAGCAATGAATGGACTACTATCCACATTGTGTAACTTATTCAAATACATGGCTCATTCACATTACCATTATTTTGAGTACTATTAGACCAGAGAATAAATGGACTAACAAGGAGCTGAAGTCACTGTGTTTGCCTTTTTCTGGAAGGAGCCGATTACAGCTAACTCAAACGTGCGTCCTCCTGTGGCTTCTAGCAACCAAAGTGCTAATCAGTCTATAAGGTTTCTTAGGGTTTGTGGTTTAGCAATGTCTATATACAGTCTACAATCAAAATGTATGCCAAGTTTGAAACCACAGGAACACTTTAAACCATGGCTAATACGCTAATACAATTGTAATGCTTTCCATCTGCTGGCCGTTTGAAGGAAGCGCACTATTTAAATTAGCAGGATGGATAAATGTGTTTTCCTACCGTTTGACTTTTTAAAATCAACAAATAAGGTACATAGGTTTTAAATTGCATTGAATTTAACATAGTCACGGTATATGAAGGCTAATATTAGAATTGTATATGACAGTTTTAGATTGTGTGCATTAGATCAATAGCATATAATACAGTGTAACTTGTTACTCAAGTGTAATGTTTAATTCATTTATAAATGAATTACTAATTTTTCGACCCAAAAGTAGCATGAGAGAAAATCAATTGTGACACATTAGCGTACAACAAAATAACCATGTGATTTGTAAAGAGTTGCATACGGGGATCAGTGAATGTATTGTCCCCTATGTCTGAAGTGTATCGTCAACTCTGCACATCCTCTCCTTGCATAATTATTTTTTTCATGTTGGATCTTGTTATGTTTGTCTCTTACATAACTTTTAAGAAGAACATACAGAAAAACTCCGGTGACTTCAGTAACGTCTTTACTTGACAGGTGTCATTCAAAGTACAAGATATCAGTACGCTACCCGCGTACTCGTTACATATGCGCTGTGCGTATACTCCGAGAGAAAGTAGTCCCTACTGTTGTAATCAATACATAACAATTCCTCCCTTACAGCTTTTATGCTCTTATCAAACAAAAATCAAAAGTAAGATAAATGGTTACTTGAATAACAACTTGAATAACAACTTCAATAACAAATGCACATTTAAATGCATAACATTTTTGTTTTGTTACAACACTTGGTTTATACAACACTTTTAGTCTATGAACCAAGTCTGTCAGGAGGTTTGCGGTGCCTCTCAGGATATCTGCGTCCCGGAGGATCAGACAGGTTTATGACAGGTCTGGGACAGTCAATAGTTTCTGGTGTGGAGTTGGTTTCCACTGTCATGTCTGGTGGTAATGTACTGTCCTTTTGACTTGGGACAGTTGGTGTCACTGGTGGGTTTGCGTCTTTTCCAGGTGATGCATCCAAAAGTTGATCGATATGTCTGCGCCAGACGACATTAGGTTCCACACCTACAGTGTAAGAGAGTGGTCCAGTTTGTGACAAAATCTCAGCATGATGCCACTTGTCACTTTGGTCACGATAGTCTCTAGCCAACACTTTTTGTCCAATATCAAATGATCGTAGTTTTCGTTGTTGTTGAGTGGAAGAACTTTGTTTGTTTGTAACATGTTGACGGATGTCAGGTTTTAATAGATCCAAACGAGACCTTAAGTTTCTTCCCATAAACAACATTGCAGGTGATTGTCCAGTTGTTGTGTGTGGCGTATTTCGGTATGCCAGTAGAAAGTTGGCAATTTTCTGCTGCAGCGGCACTTCCTCTTTCCTACTTGCTTTCATGGACTGTTTAAAAGTCTGTACGAAACGCTCAGCCAGTCCATTGGTTGCTGGATGGTGAGGAGCAGAAGTGATGTGTTTTATTCCATTGTTTTTCAGGAACATTTGAAACTCTTCACTGGTAAACTGTGTTCCATTATCACTGACCAGTTGAAGCGGGTAACCAGTACGTGCAAAAAGCATTTGCAGTTGGGCCACTGTTTTAGTTGTAGTTGCCTTGTTTACTGTAAAAACTTCAGGCCATTTTGAGTGTGCATCAACCACAATAAGGAACATGTGTTCCATAAAGGGTCCAGCATAGTCCACATGTAGGCGTTGCCATGGAGCTGTTGGCCATTCCCAAGTGTGGACAGGAGCAAGCTGAGGTTGTCGCTGGGTTTGTTGGCAACCTGTGCATGTTTTCACAAGAGTCTCTATTTGGTTATCAAGGCCAGGCCACCACACATAACTTCTAGCAAGGCTTTTCATTTTAACAACCCCCATGTGTCCATCATGCAGTGAGCTAAGCACTTTTGAGCGCAGTTTGGGTGGTACAATGACACGTGAACCCCACATTACACAACCGTGGCACACAGTGAGTTGATCTTTCCTTGTAAAGTAATCTGACAGTTCAGTGTCTGTACGATTGGGCCAACCACTTACAGTTAAGTCATACACTTTAGATAGCAGTGGGTCATTTCTTGTTTCTTTGTTTATTTGTGCACTAGTCACTGGGAGAGGTTCCATTTGCAGCATGTGAAGGGTTAAAGCAGGGTCGGTGCCTTTACCTGTGTTTGGCTGAGGAAGGCGGGATAATCCATCTGCATTTCCATGTTGCTTTGTTCCCTTGTATTCAATGGCGTATGTGTGAGCTCCCAGAAAGAGAGCCCAACGCTGTAGACGAGCTGCTGCCATTGCTGGAACACTTTTCTGAGGATTGAAGATGGAGACTAATGGCTGGTGATCTGTAATCAGAATAAAATGTTTTCCATACAAATATTGGTTAAACTTTTTTACTCCCCATACTAAGCTTAGAGCTTCTCTGTCTATTTGTGCATAATTACGCTCTGCCGGTGACAAAGAGCGTGATGCAAAAGCAATGGGGCGTTCTGAGCCGTCAGTCATTTTGTGTGACAAAACGGCACCAATGCCGTATGGTGAAGCATCACAGGCAAGTCGCAGGGGCAACTTTGGGTCAAAGTGTGTCAAAACTTTGTCTGAGATAATGAGTCTTTTTGCATTTTTAAATGCTTCATCACAGTCATTAGTCCAATTCCATTTAGCGTTTTGATGGAGAAGACCATTTAGTGGGTGGAGCTCAGATGACATATTTGGCAAAAACTTGTGATAATAGTTAAGAAGGCCAAGGAAGGATCGCAGTTGACTCACATTTTCAGGTTGTGGAGAATTCACTACGGCCTCGACTTTATCTTGTGTTTTGTGTAGTCCATTCTTGTCTATCTTGTGTCCACAGTACTCAATACATTCTTTGAAAAACTCACATTTCTTTTTATTTGCTTTAAGTCCATATTCCTCAAGTTTGTTGAGAACCGCATCTAAGTTTGTTAAATGCGAAAATTTGTCTGGGCCAGTGACTATGATGTCATCCAGGTAACATTGTGTACCTGGGATCCCTTGTAACACCTGGTCCATTGCACGTTGCCAGATTGCTGGGGCACTTGTAATGCCAAATACAAGTCGGTTGTATTGGTACAAACCCTTGTGAGTGTTGATGGTGAGGTACTTCCGTGAACTCTCATCCATCTCCATTTGCAGATAGGCCTGAGCAAGATCTATTTTTGTGAAGTGCTCACCATTTGCTAGAGATGCAAAAATGTCATCAATGCGGGGAAGTGGATAATGGTCTGCGTGCAGTACCGGGTTAACGGTTACCTTGAAGTCCCCACAAATACGAACTCGTTCTGAAGACTTCTTGGCCACTGGAACGATTGGTGTTGCCCATTCAGACCAATCCACTTTCGTTAAGATCCCCTGATCCATTAGATGTTGTAGCTCAGCTTCAACCTTTGGACGTAGTGCATATGGCACTGGACGAGCTTTGTGAAACTTTGGTTTTGTGTCTTTTTGAAGGTCTAGACACGCTTTAATGTGTTTCATGGTCCCTATGCCCTCACTGAACACTACTCTGTGGTTGTCTAATATTTCTGCGAGTTGTTTCTCTTTGTGTTGTTTGGAAGCCAGGCTCATGGTCTTTATTTCTGGCCAGTTCAGTTTAATTTGTCTTAGCCATTGACGTCCGAACAGTGGCGCGCCTCCCTCTTTGAGAACGAACAGTTCAAGGTTACTTGTTTGCTTTTTATATTTCACCTTAACATTCAGTTTTCCCAGAGGCTCAACTCTTTCACCTGTGTATGTCTTAAGTTTCACATTTGTGCGAGACAACTTCATTTCTGGAAAGTTTTTACTGTAATCTTTCTTGGATATTAGTGACAGTGCTGATCCCGTGTCCAGTTCCATTTTTAATAGCACACCATTGACTTTCGGTGTCAACCATATTATATCACTGTCATCCTCTTTAGTGGCATACAGTCCAAGACAAGACAGTTCCTCTTCACTTGAGCTATCTGACTCAGTTTTCCGTTACTTTATGAAGTTTTTGTCCCCTTTTTGCACTAGAGTTTTCTTTATTGTTGCTGTATTTCGCTTTACACATTTTCTGTATATGCCCTCTTTTGTTGCATTGTCTGCAATCTTTATCTTTAAACCAACATTCAGCTGGGTCATGTGACTGTTTACCGCATCTGAAGCAAGGCTTTGATTTGACACTTCGCTGCTTTGAGTGCAGTTTGTACACGGAGCATGCAGCGGGCTGTTTACCTTGTAGTTCAGTGGCGTCTCTTGCTGCGGTTTCCACTGACACAGCGATATCCACCGCACGCCGTAAGGTGAGCCTTTCTTCTGTTAAAAGGCGTTTTTGCGTACTCTCGTTATGCAGACCACAGACGAACCGGTCTCTCAATGCGTCAGATAGTCCCTCTCCAAACTGACAATGTTCCGCCAGTCTTCGCAGATCTGCGATGTACTCTGACACTGTCTCAGTCTTTGCTTGGTTTCTCTTATGGAATCTGAAGCGCTCCGCGATCACTAGCGGTGCTGGATTCAAATGATTTTTGAGTGTTCTTGTAATCTCCTCAATAGTTTTGTCTGCGGGTTTGGCTGGTGCGATGAGGCTGCGGAGGAGGTTATACGTCTTCGCTCCCATGAGACTCAGAAGAACCGCGACTTTCCTCTCATCCTCTATCCCGTTAGCAAGGCAGTACTGGTCAAATCTTTCAACATAAATTGACCAGTCCTCTATGGAGCTGTCAAATGTGTCCATATGTCCAACAAATCCCGACATTCTGTTACTTTATTGCGTCCGATTACTGTAACGGTACTTCGTCCCTACCTCCCGTTAGTTTGTCTTCGGAGTGAGCCAACGAAAATTTCTCTCACCAAACCAAGTCCATTTTTACCCTTTTTACTTGCCGTTATTCATCCAGAGGCCTTTATGGGTTCTTGTAAATCCTCGTCGCCAATTTTGTTATGTTTGTCTCTTACATAACTTTTAAGAAGAACATACAGAAAAACTCCGGTGACTTCAGTAACGTCTTTACTTGACAGGTGTCATTCAAAGTACAAGATATCAGTACGCTGTAAAGTGGGCCGCATCTTTCACCTCCGAAGTAAAAACGGCCCGCATCGAGAGAAAAGCAGTGCGCGTTTTGTTGACTGCTTACGGTAATAGCAGAACAGCCTTTCGCTGTCAGCTTTTCTCCTCGAACAGAAAGCGCGCTTAGGAGACTCGTTTTGTGAATAAACCCTTATTTGGAAAAGCATGTAAAAACTTAAAATGTTCGACATTTAATTTGGTCAAAAAGTGAAATTTTCAGCTGCTGTCCATTTTTACAGTAAAGACTTGAGTATCTTATTCCACTGGGTGTATGACCTCACCACTGCCTTCACCGCTGTGCCTACAACCACAAACCTTTACTTTGGAAATTGTGGGTAAAATTGAGACAAATTACACGTTTTAGTCCAAAATACACAAAACTAAGAAAAATTCCCACCTTTGATCTACTGTAACTTTTTTACTGTAAAAAGGTGTGAGACTAATTTCACTGGATTCATGACCTCAACATTGCCCTCTACCACTGTACCAAAGACAAGAAACATTTACTGTAGAAATTTTGAGAAATACTGATTTAAAGAAGCCATTTTGGTCCAAAATACCTCCAAAATAGTCAAAACATGTCATTTTTGATCTACTGTATCTTCTTACTGTAAAAAGGTGTGCGACTAATTTCACTGGATTCACGACCTCAACATTTCCCTCTACCACTGTACCAAAGACCAGGAACTTTTACTGTAGAAATTTGGAGAAATATGGAGTTAAAGTAGCCATTTGGGTCCAAAATAGCCTAAAAATGGTCAAAACATGTCACTTTTGATCTACTGTAACTTTTCACTGTAAAAAGGTGTGCGACTAATTTCACTGGATTCATGACCTCAACATTTCCCTCTACCACTGTACCAAAGACCAGGAACTTTTACTGTAGAAATTTGGAGAAATATGGAGTTAAAGTAGCCATTTTGGTCCAAAATACCTCCAAAATAGTCAAAACATGTCATTTTTGATCTACTGTATCTTCTTACTGTAAAAAGGTGTGCGACTAATTTCACTGGATTCATGACCTCAACATTTCCCTCTACCACTGTACCAAAGACCAGGAACTTTTACTGTAGAAATTTGGAGAAATATGGAGTTAAAGTAGCCATTTGGGTCCAAAATAGCCTAAAAATGGTCAAAACATGTCACTTTTGATCTACTGTAACTTTTCACTGTAAAAAGGTGTGCGACTAATTTCACTGGATTCATGACCTCATGATTGCCCTCTACCATTGTACCAAAGACCAGACACTTTTACTGTAGAAATATTGAGAAATATTGATTTAAAGTAGTCGTTTTGGTCCAAAATAGCCTAAAAATGGTCAAAACATGTCACTTTTGATCTACTGTATCTTCTTACTGTAAAAAGGTGTGCGACTAATTTCACTGGATTCATGACCTCAACATTGCCCTCTACCACTGTACCAAAGACCAGACACTTTTACTGTAGAAATATTGAGAAATATTGATTTAAAGTAGTCGTTTTGGTCCAAAATAGCCTAAAAATGGTCAAACCATGTCACTTTTGATCTACTGTATCTTCTTACTGTAAAAAGGTGTGCGACTAATTTCACTGGATTCATGACCTCAACATTGCCCTCTACCACTGTACCAAAGACCAGAAACTTTTACTGTAGAAATATTGAGAAATATTGATGTTGTCGAATCGTCGACACGATAGAAAATCAAACAGACACAGTGCGTGCTCTTCTCTGGTCTCTCTTCTGGTCTCTCTCGTTCTCTTTCTGGTCTCTCTCTGGTCTCTCGTCGGACTCTCTCTGGTCCACTCTCTGGTCTCTCTCTGGTCTCCTCTCTCTGTCTCTCTCTCGTCTGCTCTCGGAGTCTCTCTCTGGTCTCTCTCTGGTCTCTCTCAGGCATCTCCTGGTCCTCTCCTCTCTGGTCTCCTCTCTCTGGTGTCTCTCTGGTGTCTCTCTGAGTTTCTCTCTCTCTGGCTGCTCTGGTCTCTCTCTGGTCTCTCTCAGGTCTCTCTGGGCTCGCTCTCTTATTCTTCCCTCTGGTGTCTCTCTGGTCTCTCTCCTCTGGCCTCACCTCGTCTCTCTCTGGTCTCTCTGGCCACTCTCCTCCTCTGGAGACTCTCTCGTCCTCTCACTCTGTTCTCTCTCGGTCTCTCTATGGCCTCTCTCTCTGGCCTCTCTCTGGTCTACTCTCTGGTCTCTCTCTGGGTCTCTCCTCTCTGGTCTCACTCTCTGGTCTCTCTCTGGACTCTCTCTGTCTCTCTCTGGCCTCTCTCTCTGGCCCTCTCTGTGCTCTCACGGCCTCTCTCTGTCTCTCGCTGGTCTCTCTCTGGTCTCTCACTCTGGTCTCTCTCTCTGGGTCTCCTCTCTGGTCTCTCTGGTCTCTCTCTGGTCCTAAACAGTGAAAATAGTAGATTCTCACCTAAACAACATCTAACATAAAAAAACATCAAATATCAGATATAGTTTCAAATGAGTTCAGTTTCGAATCTCATTTAACATTTCAGTTTTTATTTTGTATAAATTGTAATGAAAATAAACATTTAGCACAGGTACAAAAGACTGAGCCGGGTTAATACTTTTACTTTCACTTCAAAGGCTCTAAATCTCACCTTTTCCCGCGTGGCCCGGTTCAAGACCTCTGCAATGCTGTATATTTTTATATGCTGTTTTTTTGACGACTGACTGGACAGGATCTCACACCGTTTTCCATGGTACCACTTTTGATATACTCATTTTAAAAACAAGTCTCCTCCTCCCCTCTCTACGATGCAGTTAAGGGAATGTCTGGTAGTTTTTGAATTTATATGTTTACTCCATGTTCTGGCTGAAAACCAGGAAAGGCCTTGTTCTCGATGTTGGTTTGTTGCGACAGGATCCGTGGGTTGTGTTCTTCTTCGAGGATTGGTGTTTTCTTTCTAAAGATCATTTATTGACGTTTTTCTCTGTACGGCATAGGCGCTGTACGAATTGTCCACAAAGTCCGTATTCTCACTTGGCATAAAATCAATTTTTAAATAATATTGGGTTGTTTTGTGGTTTGTGCTGATATGACAAGGGGGCGGGGTCTAGCTATGATGTCACAGATAGGAGAGATTCGACCCGGAGCGTTCTGTGAGGGCCAGAGCAGAAACATAGAGTGAAAAGTGATTGAGAAAATAGTATAAAAATGCTGAATTAGCAAAACTATGTGTCCGTAATTTGGGAATTAGATCGATAGAAGAGTTTTAAGACTTTTCAAGTGGATCTTCTGAGGCCTGCAGTACGGAGGCGTGTCGAGTAGTGGGCTGTCGGGTAATGACGTCACTACTCGACACCCCACTCCCCGCGTGTATGAGCATGATCTATTTTTTTAATAAATTACGGTATAGTAGTAGTGAGTACTATTCTATGCCCAATGAATTTATGCGCAATAAATTAATTGTTTATGGCCAATGTCATCTGTCAGTATTATTTATTGGGGAAAATGGACGAATTTAGTAAATATCAAGAAGGTAGTAATTTGCCTACAAAAGCTGCCAGATACTTAGACTATCAAATCAATAGGGGATTGAAGCAGCTCAGGACAAAAGTTAATGAGTCAAATAATGCCCAGTGCATATGTCTAATTGTACTTTTCATTTATAAAAGGGGCCTAGTGGTGGTGGCATCAAATCCTGGCTTCCCCAAGTGCAAGTCTGGTATGTTCTTGACAATGCACTCACCCACATGTGGGAACAGTGAGAGATGCTTGTGGTTCCAATAGCACCGATTAGTAGCCGGCAATCCTCCAACCAGCTGTGAGAACACACGGTGGAATAAATGAATAAAGTAGTGTGGCGTTTTGAGAAACTTGTCAACACAGGATTGAAAAGTACATTACAAAGTTAAAGATATATTACACCACCGACCACCACACACACACCTACACCCATGGTCCTCCACATTACTGACATAAAGATGAACATGCCATAACAATTTTGTGCCTCAACTTTGGCCTTTTTGGGACAAGCAACATTCCATTGACTATTGTGTTTGTCAAATTTGTATGTAGAACGAGGAATTAAACAAAAAGGAACAAATTGTTCTTCTGTCATTTTGATGTACATGCTTTTTTTTATGAAATTTTGTGTTAATCTGAATGGCTCTGAAATGTAGACACTGAATAAGTTTCAACACCACAAAACAAATTCTCTTTTATTATATCATGGAAGAAGAGGCTTCAGAGGAGAGCGCCAATCTCATCTCTCATTGGAAACTTTCAGCCTCCTGCTGCCCTCCTCTGTAAATCCTGCACCAGATCATTGCAATCATTTAAACTCCACTGTCCATAAAGAACAATCACGAGATTAGATTGTGCAGTGCACAGTGAAATATGTCCATCAATATTTAACTAATCTTGCCAATGGGTCATAACTTTGGCCCCCTTTATGACTTTACCTTGCCTCTGCTGAGGCAGGTAGAAATGCCTCGGCCCAGCAGTGTGACATGTCACCCCTAGATACGGATAAAACGTGTTACATTCACCACAACAGTTCACAAAACCAAATGCAGCACTATAAGGTGTTGTGTACCGGTTTTAATATATTACAGTGACTTGCACTTAGACTTTTATGGTCTCTGTACATAACAATGGTCAATGCAAAGTTTTTTAGTACAGTTAACCAGGAAACATGTACCATGATCATGTTTTATGATTGAGGGGGTTCAGTGTTT